AAAAAAAAAAAAAAAAATCCAGAGAGTAGGAAACACTTGGACCCATGCCCACAGAGGCAGGACAACTGGTAGTCATCTGACCAAGGAGCTGGAGTTCTCAGTCCCACACTAGCCCACATTAGCATCAATATGTCCAGATGATTTTGGAGACTAAAATGTCCCAACTGTAGTAAGGTAAGAAGGAGAGAAAGATTAGAAGCACATTATATCCACAGAGAAGTGTGGTGAGAGCAGACGATACTAGGAAATGTGCTCTCTATAGCTCACATGGGCAAGAGCAAACAGCATGTGCTCCTCTGGTTTCTTATTCAGTGTACTGAGTAGTCTGGTTTTAGACCAGTCAAGCCTCATGAGAAGAATGTTTGCTAGAATCCAAGGTTTGAAATCAGGCTTGGATGCATCAGGATAAATTTGAAAGTCAAGTGGCTAAGAATTCCAACTTTCTTTTTTGCTGCCAGATGCCACACTAGGTGGATCTCTTGATCTTAGGACAGGATGACATGAAACAGACCACATGGCAAGATAAAATATTGCCCTGGTAATTTAGAAGCAACACCTAGTCCTGAAAACAATTTTTCTTTAAGTAACAAGCACACAAAGTTCAGATACATGCTTAGTCTGAAAGAACTGGGAGGGTATAACTTCTACAGAAAGAATAACCTGAAACAAGACAAAAACTGCTGAAGTTAGCTGAAATAAGGAAATAAGATCAAGAAAACTAAAATGGAACAAGAACAAAATCCAGCAGTTTTTGAATAATTCACTCATTAAACATTTATTCTTTAAACGTTGGACACCTTTGGAAAGATACCCAGCAGAGGGAGAGCTGGGTCAAATGGGACTTCTAATCCTAGTTGTTTGAGGTATCTCCATATTGATTTCCACAGTGGTTGCATCCTACCAGCAATGGAGAATGGTTCCTTTCTCCCCATATTCCTGCCAGCATTTTTTATTGGTTGATTTCTTGTTAGCAGCCTTTCTTTGTAGGGTGAGGTGGAATCTCAGTGTTGTTTTCGTCTGCATCTCTCGAATGACCAGTATAAAAAATTAATAAATTATAAAATAAGTAAATATTGAACACCTACTTTGTGCCTGCTCTTCTAGGCACTAATGATCCAATAGTGCAAAAATATATATAGGAATCAGTTATGAAAGATTCATCTAAAAGTTGTAAGGTTTGCAGTAGAAAATACTAGAAAAATAAGAGTAGAAACAAAACACGGGGTTGCTAGAAGAAAACTTGTCTAACTTCATTGATTTTTCAGGTATTAAAAAGTATATTCTCCTCTAGATAACATATATTCTGATAATTTAATTTTTTATTTTAAAGAAAAGTCCTAACAGTATCAGGGCAGAGAAAAAGAAGTTACCAACATCAGAATGAAAAACAAATGGCCACAGACTTCTTTTCTATAGCACTAAATAACACTGAAGACCATTGGGGCATTTCTCCTCATTTAGAACCTTATGTGCCGTTATTATTTCATTATTAGTTTTCTTCCTTATGGAAAAATACAGTATGGATTTTGTTGTGAGGCACTTCACTCCTGTTTTTAAGCTGCTTTGATAAGCATACAGATTCACAGCGTTAATGATGTGAGTGGTTCTTTCTAGGGCTTTTCAGTACACACAATTTTACAGGTACTATGTAAGAATGTAAGGCTTCTTTCCCAAAAAGTCTGTGCCTGCCAACTAGCCATGCATGTGTTTAGGTAAATAGGAAACTAGAATATTTCCTCAGAAAAATCATTCAAAGATGTGCTCTTGCTGAGCAAAAAATTGATGCAAATCACACACTGAAATATGTGTAAACTGTAGGAAAAAAGGACTGTTGGTAAACAGTGAAGCCAATTCAATATGTAAATAGATGTGAATGAAAGAAATACAATACATCTCACCTGTATATAGTTATAACTAGATTTAATAGCCAAAATGTATTCTCACAAAATAAATTTATTTAAACAGTTTAAGGTCTCAGTAACTTAAGCTAGTTCTGGCTAAGAACAGATGAGTAGCCTATACTAGACTAAACTAGAGATGACTGGAAATCTAGAATATTTATGTATAGATGCTAAGATTTAACAAAAACTAAAACCCATATTAAAGGGGATTGGGCAAATTGGTTCATTATTTAGAAATTATATTAAATCTAGATTTCCTTTACTGTGTCATGTATTAGAATAAATTATAAATGAATAGGACTTATAGGAAGAAATTAAATCATTAAAATACCAAGGTGCATAGATGTAAATATTAACCATGCTTAGGTTCAGTAAAGACTTTGAGCACAGAAGTAGTGGACATAATCACAAAGTTTATATCAATAAACTTGATTATGTAATAATTTATATTCAATAACAAGACCCTAAACCAGTAATCTAACAAGTTTTCATCCATGAATCAGTAAGAAAAATAGTTAACCCTAGTTGATCTCATTGTGTTTACCAGGTGATAGAAGAAAACTTCTTTGATCTCATTCCAAAGATTATTTAAATACCTGTTGTTTTGGCACTGGTTGTAAATTTGGTAATCTCACTGCTGAAGGGAACTGTGAAGTGCTATATTTTGGGGTGGCAGTTTGGCAGTATGTATTTAGGAGCCTTTAACTTTCATGACCTGTAACTCAATTATAACACTGAAGAATTTGTTCTGTGGAAATAAAGATGCAGATGTTGAAGTATGTTCATTGATAAATTGGTTAAATAGCCATCAGTTAAAAATGATGTTTTTAAAAATTATTTAATAGTAGGTCAAAATATTGCTTATATAATATCAATGAAATAAAAACAACATGTAAGCCAGTAATTTCTATTCCAAGAAAATTTACTGGAAGAAAATATACCAAAATGTTAGCAAGGGTAATCTGAATATTTGTTGGCCTTGTTTTATACCTTTTTATTCCTTTTATGTCCTGCCAATTTTGAGTAGACTAAAGATTTTGACACTTCTGATTTATGATTCATTATTCTATTACCATCTCTGCTCGTTGCCTCCTTTTTCCCTCTCCTTCCTTGGCAATGTCTGTAAGGTGGTAAGAGGAAGAATTTTGGAACCAAGAAATGAAGGATTGGGGAGGAGGATGATCTGTTTTTTACTTTCTGGATTCTCGGTACTCTGTCCCAGAATATACGGATTCTTCATTGGGAAAACACTGACTTTCTTTCTGCCTCTTTATTTTGCAGGAAACACATGAAATTGTGGCAATCAAGAAATTCAAGGACAGTGAAGGTATATATGTTGTTTTTTCCTTCTATATTAAGTTTTTGTAAAGAAAGTGTGAAAGAGGTGGGATTTAGCCAGTTAGATCCTATTTATTCCTGAAATTGTATTTCTTTTCCAGTACTGGGAATTGAACTCAGGACCTTGTCCTTGCCAGGCAGGCAGCACTGCTGAGCTCCATCCCTGGCCCTATTCCTGAACTTTTAAAGTCACGGTCTTGAATATAGCTTATCTATTATGATTTGCTTTAAAATATTTATTTCCTTCTATGTGAATCTTTTATCTCATGATATTAGAAAGTTTATCTTGTGTTTTAAGATCAAGTTGACATTGGAAATCTTGCTCAAATGGTAGATAGAAAGTCATCCACACTGTTTCTAAATGTAATTATTTTTTTCCCTCATTGAGTTCATTGGTACATTTTAGGTATACAGTACAGTTACATTCATCATTGGGATCTTGTACCTTTACATGACAGATCTTGGTTCTCATTTTTTCCCCTTGTCCCTGCTCTCCCTTCACCCCTTCCTCCCCTCCCCATTTACAAACATTTTATTTCCATTTTTTTTCATTTTCTCATATTTTTTTCTTTCTCTTATTACCTTTTCCCTACCCTTCCCACTTTCCCTACACCTTTAGCCCTTTTCTTCCTATTTCACATTGTCCATTATATCATTAGGATCTTATGTACTATTATAGTTTGTTCACACCAGAGAAACTATTCGGTAGTTACACATGTGTGACTTATTTATTTCACTTAGGAGTATATCCTCAATAAGTATCCATTTTCCTATGAATGACTCTAATTTCTCATTCTTTATGGCTGAGTAGTATTCCATTTTATAGAAAAACCACATCTTCTTTATCTAGTTTCCAGCTGACGGGCAAATGGACTGTTTCCAAGTTTTAGCTATAACAAATGTGCCACTATAAACATAGGTGCTCATATATCACTGTGATATGATTCTTTTAATTCTTTTGGAAATATACCCAGCAGAGGGATGGCTGGGTCTCTAGTCCCAGCTCTTTGAGGTATCTCCATATTGATTTCCATAGTGGTTGCACTAGTCTGCATTCCCACCAACAATGGAAAAAGGGTTCCTCACAACCCCGCCAACATTTGTAATTGGTTGATTTCTTGATAGCAGCCATTCTTTGTGGGGTGAGGTGGAATCTCAGTGTTGTTTTCATCTGCACCTCTCGAATGACCAGTGATGTGGAACATTTTTTCATGTATTTACTTGCTGCTTTTACTTGTTTGTGTGAGAAATGTCTGTTCATTTCAGATGCCCATTTTTGAATCGGGTCCTTATATTTGGGGGGCTGGTTTTTTTGAGTTCTTTATAAATTCTAGATAATAGTCCTTTGTCTGAGGAGCAGCTGGTAAAACTACCAAAGCTGCTATACAGATTCAATGCAATGCCAATTGAAATTCCAACACTATATTTCACAGAACTAGAAAAAATAATCCAAAAATTCATTTGGAGCCAGAAGAGACCTACAATAGCAAAAGCCATCCTAGGCAACAGAGACATGGCAGCGGGTATAACAATTCCCAATCTGAAACCATACTACAAAGCCACTGTGATAAAACCAGCGTGGTACTGGCAAAAAACAGACCTGAGGATCAGTGGAACAGATTGGAAGACACAAAAACAACTCCAGATGCACTCAGCTACGTCATCTTTGACAAAGGAGGTTACCATCCCCACTGGAGGAAAGACAGCCTCTTTAATAAATGGTGTTGGAAAAACTGGTTCTCAACTTGCCAAAAATTAAAACTAGACCCTTATTTTTCACCATGCACTAAATTAAAATCCAAGTGGATTAAAGATCTAAATATTAAAACAGAAACACTAAACTTGCTGGAAGATAAGTTAGGCAGAACTCTTGAAGACATTGGTATAGGAAAATACTTTATGAACAAATCCTCAGTAGCATGGGAACTAGCAGAAAGAATCAACAACTGGGACCTCATTTTATTTAAAAGCTTCTGCACTGCAAAAGAAACCAACAGAACTAAGAGACAACCTACAATGTGGGAAAAAATTTTTACCAGCTGCTTCTAAATGTAATTAAAATAAAAATGCTGATTTGAAGCAAATACTTCTGTTGTTCACATGAGTAGTTAATGCTCTATGAAAGATTTCAGTATTGGATACTGTGATCTCTAGTTCTACTCAGAATTAGAAATACAAGGATAAGTAGGAGACAGTATTAACAGGATGATTTTTCTATTTGAAATCACTCATTGGGAGAACAAATGCTTCTAACAAATATCATACTTGGAGATCTTGATTATATAGTCAGACCATTTCAAGTGGAGTATATTACTCTGTGCTGGGCTTGAAAGTTTAAAAAAATTTCCATAGTTCATTCATTTTAAAATCTTGATTCTTGGTCATCCAAAGATAGCCATGTAGAGAAACTGATCTGTGAAAGTATGCATTCGCCTGTAAGGAACTCTGGGCAGCGTTTTTTCAAACATTTTGGACAGAGACCGCAGTAAAAATATATTTTATATCCTAACCCTGTGTCCACACACATTCTATACTATATATAACTAAAGTAAAAGTGTCACAAACCACTTTATCATACTAATGTAAGGTATTCCATTTGCTGTTCTTTCCTGTTCATATAAATTCCTATTGTGGCATCAGATACCTTGATTCCACCACTAAGAGTCACAATCTGCCATTTGAAAAACAGTGGTTTAGGGATAAGCGGTACCAGCATAGTATTAACCTTTATATTTAGACAGCAATATAAAGATAGCTGTCATAGCCTACGTTCATGAGAACATATTTACTAAGCACTGTAAGAAACTAGCTTCTTATTTATAAACCATTTTATTGCCCTTGCCTCAGAATTAGCAAGCAGGAGATAATAAAAAGGGCTTGCTGACAAAAATTTGCAGGATAAGTTCAGTAGTATTTCATGTAACTGCCCTCTGATATGCTGGCTGTGTGGAGCATTTACGTATCAGCTGGGAACTTCAGCTGCCATTGTGAGGGCAGCCTTAAAAGAAGGCATTGGAAAAATGCTTTTAGCTTTTTCTGGTCTGGGGGCAGGGACATGCTTTAGTCTGCCTGTGGTCTAACAGAAAATGTAGCCTGAGCCAACCCACTGTGAGACCATTGGAAATGAACCCTTTGAGTGGTGACTTTGGGCTCACAAGAGGTGGCCCAGTGACAGATGGCAAGCTCCTAAAAAGAGTAATTGCAATAGTAGATCAAAGTACAACCTCTGCATGCATTTAGAGAGTTGTAGCTGTGCATTCGTCTTGCAGGGCACATCAGCAAGCATCAATTACCACCAAAAATAATAATTGTCATCAAATTTTTAAAAAGGAGTATAATCTAGGCCATGTATAATGTTGCTATTTTAACTAAGTGCTACGTTCTTCACAGCCTCTATACAGTATATGCCAATGCTTATCTCCAATTATATGATATATTTTACCTGTGCAATAAAGAGTGTATCCATAGAAATTCATTGAGCCCTGAGCCAGATACTTTCAGAGCATTACAAGTAACTCAAGTATGGAAGCTTTCAAGAAGCTTTGACCTCTTAGTAGAATTAAGACCTATAAATAAATAAATAATAGAATAGAAAAACAGTTTAGTGTCTGAATGGAGACATGCAGTTTGGATCATTTTGAGGCAAGAAAGATTATGTCTAGCTGTGACATCCAGGAATGCATGTATAGTTTAGACATGGAAAACATTCAGTCTTCCTCTATTTCTCTGAATCAGTAAAACAATCTGTTTTGTCCTCATTTCTGCCAGACCATTATTATTCCTCACTGACCTGCAGACTTGTACACATCCCACACTGTTAATGTAAACCTACGTATGCTACTTATAGAGAGACATTTTCATAACATTTCTTGGACAGAATCTGAAGAGGTATCCAGTTACTCACAAAACTTAAATTTTTTAGTTCCAGTCCTATTATAGGCCCACTTTCCTTCCGGTTTCATTTCTCCTTGGAAGATCTAGTACTGTCTTCTCTGTCTTTATCCTTTTCCTCTGTCCACTGTAGTGTCTTACTTAATGGAAAGAAAAGGGTAGATACGTGATGAACAGCCCTTTTGGAGTGTGAAGTGTACATAGATAGTTTTGTATGAGTGAAGATTTCAACTTAATTCCTATGTGAGCTATTTAATTATGAATACATTTATTAAGTTTAGTCAAGCCTTTTATAATAAATATTATATACCCTTTTTGTCATATAGCTCTCATTCATCCCCTTTATTAATCTGAAAACATTCTTTTGATGTGGTGATGGTGATTATTTTAAAGCCAATGCTTAAAGTCTTTGTGAAGATAATGAAATAGTTCTATATAAACAGTGTTAAACTGAAATAGGACTGTACTTGGTCAGACCCATTTTTAAGCAACTCAGGTATTCTCTAAAAGAAGTATTCTCTAAGTGATGATATCAAGGGATACTTTGTGAGAATGTATATTACCTTCTAGTAGCTTTGAAAGATTGATAATGCCCTACTGTCTTGTTAAATTCATGTGTATACATAGATTTATGTAAACATGTTTAAGACTACATTTTAAGATAGACCATTATAGTTCAAGAAGTTCTTACTGTCCCAGCCCAGAATATTAGATCACTATTTTAAATGGCAATCAAAATTTTATAGTAAATACAAGATTATATTGGGACTTTAAATTGGAAACATCAACCTAAAATTATAAAAATAAAGAGGATCATTCAAAATATATACAGAAGATTTTGTCAGTTTTCTCTTTTTTTTTTCACATTCCTTTCTGTCTCCATCTTTTTCAGGTTTTTAGTTATTAGCTGATACTACTCTATGACATCATTTATCGGTGTCTTTGCCTGTGATTCTTACGAAAAGATTTTGATGCTCTGGTGGGGACAAAAATTTCTATTCAGAGGAAGGAATGGTCTAGGTTTGGTGTCACACACCTGTAATTCCTGGGAAGCTAAGGCAGGAGATTCGCAGGTTTGGCCAGCCTGGGTAGTATTGA